CGTTTGGGGAATTAGCTTTCAAAACACACAAGAGACCGCTGGCATTTTCCTGCAGATTAGCTTTTCATAGAAGCTGTAAGCATTCTGAGAGGAGAGAGGACAGAGTCCATCAGTGTCACTGTGGTTGTTGAGGCCAGAGGGCTCCAGGCTGAGAAGGGAGTGTTTGCAGGGATTCCAATGTCTGTTTAGGCACACAGGTGTCTAAAGATGGGAAGATTTCCCCGGTGATGAAGCTCTGGGCTGAACAGGATGGTCTGAGTGAGTAGGAAGGCCCTGTCAACCCAGGTGAGCTCTGTTGGGGTGTGGGTCTCCTTGCCACTCCACTCAGGCTGAGTTTCTTGGGCCTCCTAAGATCTGCCACCATCACAGTTTGTTCTGAAGCGCTCACACCTGGGAGAGCTGTTCTTATAACCCAGGTACAACAGGGGACCGACCTCTATCAGGGAAAAACCACAGCCTTCCCTCTCGGTGACCTCAGAGAACACACAGCTCAGGCTCCTCTGCCCTAGCATCCTCCACATCCACCAGCATCCTCCACAGGAGTTAAGACACTCAGCTGCCCAGGCCATGTCTGTGCACTTAAATCAGAATTTTTAGGGTACAGCCAGGGTCCTGCAATCTTGTCACCATGTCCCAGGTGATTCCAATGAGCAGCTGAGGTTGAAAGGCACCCAGCTCCACAGTAACTCAGCTGTACTGAGTCCTGGAGGGAAAGTGACCCTGTCTGAGGTCTTCTGGCCCCAACGCATCAGGGCTCATGTGGGTGGGACATGTATCACATGCCAGGGTCTGCTCTAACCTCTTGACATGTGTCCCTCATTCAGTCCTTTCAGCTGCTCTGTGAGGACAGGGCTGTCACTGAGGGATGAAGACACTTAGGCCCAGAGTGGGGAGAGATTCGGCAGAGGTCCCAGCACTGGGATGGGGCAGAGTTGGGGTGAGTTACCGGGCAGGGGTTTGGCCCCGGCTCTCAGACACTGCTCTGAGCTCAGGAACACCCTAACCACCCCCCAATCCAGAGCTTCCTAGGCCCTCTTCAGTGAATCACAGACCTCTTAAAGTTGTGTGATCACCATCATTTCGTAGATGGGGAAACTGAGGACAAGAGGGAACGGAGACATGCCCAGGACCCCACAGCCTGGGAGGTCAGCACCATCGCTCCCCGAGGGGCTCTCCTTCACCAGGTCATTCTCTCCTCAGGACACCCTGCAAGGGCTGTGTGATCATCCTCTTTCTGCAGGTGAGGAAGGGGGGCCCAGTACAGGGGACTGGGTCTCAGACTTGAAATAACACCTTTTGTTAGGAGTCCCTACTCTGTGCTGGTGATTTGGACAAAGCTCCTCAAATGCTTCTAATTCTCCTGAAAGACGTGATGACCACCATCCTACAGATGAGAAAACTGAGGCTGAGAGAAATGAAGGGACTGTCTCTTCTCACCCACTGACTGTGTCCTGGTATTTCCTGTCAAGTCTAAGCTTTCATGTCCATCAGCAGAGCAAGTGCCCACCACCTTCAGGAGCCTCCACACCAACTACCACCCCCTCTTTTGCCTCAGATTCCTGACTTCATCAACTATAGGAAGGAGTAGCCTCTGAGGGCCCAGCCCTGGGGAGCCTGGAACAACAAGGGAAGACATGGGCTCCTGACACCTGAGTCTAGAATAGGAACTCTTGCTCACATGGGCCCTCATCACCCTCTAGGGAACACCTCCCCCTCCTCATCCTCAATCTGCAGCGCCAGGAGTGGGCATGTCCGGTGCTGCTGGGATCACAGTGGCCCCTCTGGACTCTGTCCACACCACCCTTCCTGGACCTGCACCAGAGGGGCCTGGTGAAGGCGCAACATCACAACAATGGGGAGAAAATCTCCTGATACCTGTTGATCCCTGTCATTGGGGAACTTTTCAGCACATCGTGTGACACTGAATGATCTGTCTCATCTGGGTCGTAAAACTGGACTTGCCTCCCTTACAGCGCCTTTTAAAATGTTTATCTCTAAAGAAAAGAATGAAATAAGATTTTAAGAGGACAGGGCTGGAGTCTTCTCAAGACTTTGACAAGCACAGTCGGGTGTGCAGAGAACAGGGCTGTGAGACTGTGGGTGCCTGGGATTCGATCTTGGCTCTCCTGCCTGGTCACAAATCAGATTCCCTCTCTGAGCCTCAGGGTCCTCATCTGTAAAAATGGAAAACAGACAACCTTTCCTTCTGAACACTGTTGTTAATGAGTAAATGCCTAAGGAGGATTCAACATCAGACAGGCTGCGGCTCCCCTCCGCTCCCTCCTTTCTCAAGCAGGGAATCATCTGGGCAGGCGGCCTGGAGAAGAGGATGAACAGCCCTGGGAGACAGCAGATCTGAGAGATGGTGGAGCCACTTACTAGCTGTATTGAGACTGAACAGGGGACCCACCATCTGGGAAGTTTAGTGATATCTGAGAAATCAGGAAAAAATGCCTTCCCTGCTGATGTCTAGATGTTTGGGGAGATTATTTGCTACCAAGACTAGGAGGGAAAATAGGCAATATCATCACACAAATTAAAATTCACATACTGTCTGAACTAGCAATGCCACTTCCAGTGGGTATTTCCCCTCTGAGCAGAGTGACACTTGGAAAGCTTATCCATCTTAGCACTGTTTCAGTAGCCCAAGGTTAGGAACAACTTAGTCTCCATCAACAGAAGACTGTGAGATAAACGATGCTATCTCCATATGCTGAGTGTCAAGTAGTTGTTGAAAAACAGGGCAGCTGTAGGTGCTGATATGGAATGAGGGATTTGGGATCATGCGGGTGAAAGTGGGGAGACCTCAGGCTCGGGGTCTGAATGTGAGGGACCTTCTGAACCTTTGGGAAGGCAATGAAAAGAGCCTGCTCCATGGTTAATTCAAGGAGAGTTTGGGTGGTGGTGGTTTAGTCGCCAAGTCCTGTCCGACTCTTGCGATTTGATGGACAATAGCCTGCTGGATTTCTCTGTCCACGGTTTCCCAGGCGAGAATACTGGAGTGAGTTGCCATTTCCTTCTCCAGGGGAGCTTCCCGACCGAGGAGTTGAATCTGGGTCTCCTGCACTGCAGGCAGATTCTTTATTGACTGAGCTATGAGGGAAGCCCAAGGAGTTTTTATTCTGCAAATTCTACGTGCCAGGCCCTTCCAGAAAACTAGTTCCAATGCCAGTGAAGGAAGGAGCCTTGCCTGGAATCAAAGTAAGTTCCTTTTTTTTTAATGGAAAAGAAAAAATATATAAACATAGTGAGACATATTAACATTTATCTGAGAATATTTTATCAAGTGCAGAAAAAATAAGAATAGGAATATCTTGATGTTATTAATAATTTAGATATAATTGACTTATATTTAATTAGTTTATATTAATCATATCCTACACAATATATTTAAAATTTTGTATCTCATATGTTGTTGTTAGATATCCATAGGACATTTAAAAAAACTGGTAAAAAGAGAAACATTACTAAATCTCAAAAAGTAGAATTATTTTCTGTGTGTGTGATTCAGTTATACATATATACAGATGTTATTTTTGAAAGTATTTTCCATTATAAATTATTACAAGATATTGACTATAGTTTCCTGTTCTATATAGTGAACTTTTGTTGCTTATTGCATATCTATATTTTTTAACTAGATATCTAGCATTCTATTAATACTAAGTCAAACAAGTAGAATCAAAATATCATAAATTTTTTAGTTAGGTAAAAATTCATAAGTTTTCTAAAATACATATATAATACATAATTTATATATATGTATACAAAAGCTTTTCTACTATACTTGAGAAAGGTTTGAGAAATGAACATGAAATAGAAAAAGTGAAACAGACTAGATAAAAGTAAAAGATCCTCATATAGTGCAGTTGTTTTTAAACATGGCTGCTCATTAGAAACATATTGGAACTCTGGCCAAAAAAAAAAAAAAATCAATACCCTGGCATTTGTATTTGTATTCTGCAACTTCCATGCGCTAGGTTCTTCCATGAAACAAGTTCCAATACTGGTGCAGGAAGGAGATTAGCCTTGAATCAGGTTGGGTTCTTAATGGATCCTTTCACTGACTATGTGACTGTGGTCTGGGCCCCTGTCACCTCTTGGCCTCAGGGCCCCATCTATACATGGGAGGTTGGGAGGATGATGCCTAAGGCCCATCCTGTGCTGAGAGTCAAGGATTCAGGGCCTTTGTCAGAAAAATCTAAAAAAAAATGAGCACCTTTGCTGCCTCAATGGCACTGCTCCTAAGTCATCCACATGGAGAACTGCTTCCCTGAGGAGGGACATTCTGAAATGAACCAGCTCTGCTGGGAGCCTTTGGTGACTGTGTGAGTCAATCCCTGAATGACAGAATGAAACACCCAACCTCTCAGCACAGTCTCCAATCAGGGCCATCAGAATAAACACTGAAACTGTGTCTCTTAGAATCTCTTTTCAGTGTGATAGCCTGAATAGAAAATAAAGAAACACATCTCCCCTCCCTGCCCTGGATGGATTTCTCCTTCAGAAGGGAAGAGGACATAAGCTTCAAGGGAGAAGAGCCCCTGTCTGCTTTGTTCACTGCTGTTTCCACAGCATCCAGAGCAGGGCCTGGCACACAGTAGGTGCTCAATAAGTGCTGAATAAAGAGAAGACTTAGCCACACTGAGGGTGCACTCTCCACAGGTAAGAAGTGAGGCCTGGCCTGTCAAGGAGCAAGTCACTCAGACTTTCATTTCCCTTATCCCTGGAATCAACGGACTGAATGTGATGGAAAGGACAAGGACTGTGGAGCCAGGTAGATGGGGGATCCAGACTTTTCCCATGTTGACCAGCTGAGGGGCCTTGAGCAAATAGCACAACCGTCAGGGCCTCAAATACTCTGATTTGTAGAAGGGAGTAAAATCAGATCATGTCCTGGTCACTGTTGTACCAGATTCCTTTTTTTGTTCAAAGAGTGAAGGGCATTCTTGTTGACTTGTCAGAGACCAGGGGATGAAGGACACCCAGGCCATACTCACCACTCACAGTGAGATGAGTGCCTGGTCCAGACTTAAACTCCACGTCACCATGTTCTCCTTTCCCGAACTTCACACAGTAGTAGACACCAGTGTCTGCCGGGGTGATATTACTGATGCGGATGGAAAAGTCCATGTTGTTTCTCTTTGTGACATCTGAAACATTTGTTACTCTGGGGAAGGGGGCTTCTTTTTGACTGTAGATTAACTCCCGACCTGGCCCAGTTCCTCTGAACCACTTCATGGGCCCCACAGGCCTCAGGGAGGTCAGGGTGCAGTGCAGAGTGGCCGTCTCTCCTGCTGCAACTGACACTGACCTCTCAGGCTGAATCACCTGCAGCTCCCCCTCACCTGCCGCTCCTGGAAGAAAACACAAAGTAGTTATTTATTCATCCTCATGTGATCCTGTAGGTTTTCTCAAGTGTTTATCAACAACAGCATTCAATGTCTGAATGCACCTTGAATGGGCCTTAAACTCAGCACACGGCATGTACATTGCATGTAGCTTGCACAATGAGCCTGTAATGTAAGACACTAATACAAGAGAGGAGCCGAGGCACAGGGGTCAGTGATGTGGCAGAGACTGGGACTGAGTCCTTGAGCCCTCTCTGGAAGTGTCTTGCTCCACCAAATATTACTAGGTGTTCACTGTGTGTTCTCAGGGATTGCTGCACTTCTGTCCTTTGCATTAGGTGGGACGACGTGACCTCTTATTTTTCTGGGCTCCAAAATCACTGCAGATGGTGATTGCAGCCATGAAATTAAAAGGCGCTTGCTCCTTGGAAGGAACGTTATGACCAACCTAGACAGCATATTAAAATGCAGAGACATTACTTTGCCAACAAAGGTCTGTCTAGTCAAGGCTATGGTTTTTCCAGTAGTCATGTGTGGATGTGAGAGTTGGACTATAAAGAAAGCTGAGCACAGAAGAATTGATGCTTTTGAACTGTGGCGTTGGAGAAGACTCTTGAGAGTCCCTTGGGCTGCAAAGAGATCCAACCAGTCCATTCTAAAGGAGATCAGCCCTGGGTATTCATTGGAGGGACTGATGCTGAAGCTGAAACTCCAATACTTTGGCCACCTGATGCGGCAAGCTGACTCATTAGAAAAGACCCTGATGCTGGGAAAGATTGAGGGCAGGAGGAGAAGCGGACAACAGGGAATGAGATGGTTGGATGGCATCACCGAGTCAATGGACATGGGTTTGGGTGGACTCCGGGTATTGGTGATGGACAGGGAGGCCTGGCGTGTTGCAGTTCACAGGGTTGCAAAGAGTCAGACACGACTGAGTGACTGAACTGAACTGAACTGAACATGACCTCTTAGATCGCTGAGTTATGAAGAGAAGTGATGCACGTATTTGGTATGTTATTCATTAAACTGCAAATACCTTTATGGACCAACTTCACTCCTCCCCAGGGATCCACATACTCATGATGCAATTTGCTCCAACAACCTGTATACTTGAGTGACAGTGATATTCTGAGTTTCCAGCACACAATGAACATTTAGTTTATGAAGAAAGTAAGACATTGTTTCAACTCCCTGGGATTTTTTCCAAAGGCACATGTATTATACTAGTTACCTAAGGATGCTGTAATAAATTAACAAAAATTTGGTGACTTAATGATAGTTTTATTATTTTATAATTCTGGATGTGAAAGGACCAAAAACAGTATTACTGGACTAAAATCAAGCAGTCAACAGGGCGACATTTCTCTAGAGGCTCTTATCGTTGCCTCTGCAAATTCTTGAGACTGTCTACATTCTTCTCAAGGTTTCTATCTTCTTATGACTCCAATTGTGCTTCCATTGTCACCTGTACTCTAACTTTGGATTTCCTGCCTCTTCGTATAAGATTATACTGGGCTCCCATTTATAAACAAGGATAGCAAGAGTCTCTCATAGCAAGAGTCTTAATCACTTTCGCAAATTTTTTTTCCATGTAAAGTAAAACATTCACTAGTGAGTGTTAGGACATGGATCTCTTTGAGGGGCTATGTTTTGCTTACTTGATTTATAACTCGTTTTAATTGAAGTGTATTGATTTACAATGCTGTATTAATTTTGTAGTACAAAATGTGACTCAGTTATACATATACATTTTTAATATATTCTTTTCTGTTATTGTTTACCACAGGATACTGAATATAGTTCTCTGTGCTGTACAGTAGGACCTTGTTCTTTATCCTTTCTTTATATAATAGCTTACCTAACCCCTACCCCATTTACCTTGACAACTGCAACTCTGTTCTCTATGTCCTTGAGTCCATTTCTGTTTCATAGGTAGGTATATTTGTCTCTCTCTCTCTTTTTCTTTTTTTTAGGCTACATCGTGTACCTTGAGGTTCTTTGGTCCCTACCAGGAATCAATCCCAGGCCCCTGCAATGGAATTATGAAATCCTATCCATTGGACCATCAGGCAATTCCCTGGGCCATTTTTTGGATTCCACATATGAGTGATATCATATGGTATTTGTCTTTCTTGTTCTGACTTACTTCACTTAGTATGATAATCACTATTTTATCTATGCTGTTGCAAATAGCATTATTTCTTCATTTTTTACAGCTGAGTAGTATTCATTGTATATATGTTCCACATCTTTTCATCCATTCATCTATTGATGGACATGTACTTTGTTTCTTTGTCTTAGCTATTGTGAATAGTATTGCTATGAACATAAGGATGTATGTATCTTTTTGAAGAAAAAGATTGGGTGGGATTGCTGGATCATTTGGTAATTCTATTTTTAGTTTTATGAGGAACTTCCATAATATTTTCCATAGTGGCCACATCAATTTACATTCACACCAATAGTACAGGAGGGCTCCCCTTTTCTCCACATCCTCGCTAGCATTTGTTATTTGTACAACTTAAAAAATATATACTTATTTTAAATGGAGGATAATTACTTTACAATATTGTGATGGCTTTGCTATACATCAATATGAGTCGTACAAATTTTAATGATGGCCATTCTGCCTAGTGCGAAGTGGTGCCTTATTGTAGTTTTACTTTGCATTTCTCTAATAATTAGTAATGTTGAGCATCTTCTCATGTGCCTCGGTCATTTGTATTTCTTCTTTGGAAAAATGTCTACTTAGGTCTTCTGCCCATTTTTCAACAGGGTTGTTTGCTGTTTGTTATTTTTTAGTTGTATGAGCTGTTGTATATTTTGGAAATAAAGCCCTTGTCAGCTGCATCATTTGAAAATATTTTCTCCCTTTCTGTAGGTTGTCTTTTCATTTTGTTTATGGTTTATGGAGGTCCTCTGGCTTTGGCACATCAGAGCCCACATTAATGGAACACATCACATGCCTGGCTCTGCTCTAAGCTCTTGACATGCGTCCCTTATTCAGTCGCTGCGGCTGCTCTGTGAGGGCGGGGCCATCACCGAAGGACGAGGACACTGAGCCCCAGCGTGGGAGGGACTCGTCAGAGGTCCCCGAGCTGGAATAGGCGCCCAGACAGGGGCTCGGCTCAGGCTCTCAACTGCTGTGTACTGAGCTCAGGGACGACCTAACCGCCCCCCATCCAGGGCGGCTTAGACTGTCTCCAGTCATCCCGGACTCCTGAAAGGTAGTGGGATCACCACCGTTTCCCAGATGGGCAGACTGAGGACCACAGGCGCTGTGAGACGTCCGCAGGACCACACAGCCTGGAAGGTCGGCACCGCCGCTCCCTGAGGGGCTGCCCTGTCACCAGGTCGTGTCACCAGTACATTCTGCAAACATTACAGGTGAGGAAGGGGGGCCGGCACAGAGAGTTGGGTCACAGCCTTGAAATAATACCCCACTTTGGGTGTCTCTGCTCTGTGCTGGTGATTTAGACAGAGCACCTCAAATCCTTCCAACTCTCCTGAAAGGAGACAATGATGATTACCATTCTACAGAAGAGAAAACTGAGCCTGGGCGAAATGAAGGGACTAAGTCTTCACCCTTCCCTCCACAATGTCCCAGTATTTCATGTCAGCTCCAAGCTTTCATTTCCATCAGCAGAGCAAGCACCCACCCTCAGGAGCCCCCACAATGACCACCACTCTCCCGTTTTCTCTCAGATTCTTGACTTCAAGTGACTACAGGGAGGTGTGGCCTCTGAAGGCCCAGGCATAGAGACTCTGAAGCCACAAGGGAAGACACGAGCTCCTGACACCTGAGTCTAGAATAGAAACTCTTGCTCACATGGGGATCCCACCACCCTCTAGGGAACACCTCCCCCTCCTCATCCTCAGTCTGCAGAGCCAGGAATGGGCATGCCCGGGGCTGCTGGGATTGCAGTGGCCCCTCTGGGCTCTGTCCACCCTAACCTTCCCAGACCTGCTCCATAGGAGCCTAGTGAAGGGGCAACATCACAACAACGGAGAAAATCTCCTGATGCTGCTAAGTGTGCCGAGTGCTGCCATTTAGAAGAGGTTCAGCCCATCCCATCAAGAGACACTGCAGTATCTCTCTGGTCCAGGTTGTAAAGCTAAACTTACCTCCCACAGTGGACTTCTCTTTAGTGCCATTGCTGAAGAACAGAACAATACAAGGACTTCAGAGGACAAAGCTGGAGATTTCCCCCACACTTTGACAAGCACAGTGGGGTGTGCAGAGAGCAGGGCTGTGAGTCAAAGTGCCTGGGGTTCAATCTTGGCTCCCCTACATGCTCACTGAACAAGTCCCCTCTCTGAGCATCAATGTCCTCATCTATAAAAGGGAAATCAGACACCCTTCTTTCTGAACACTGTTTATAAGGAGTAAATGTCATGAGAAAGGTTCAGTATCTGACAAGCTGATGCTCTCTGGCCCCCTTTCCTCCCTCCTTCTCATCCAGGGAATCATCTGGGCAGGTGGCCTGTAGAAGAGGATGATCCACCTTCTGGGAAGCCGCAGATCTGAGTGGTGGTGGAACCACTTACTACTTGTGACCGAGGTTGAGCAAGGGACCCACCGTCTGGGAAGTTAAATAATATCTACAAATCAGGAAAAACCACCTTCCCTGCTAATGTCTGAAGGTTGAGGAGGCTCGGTTGCTACCATGACTAAGAGGGAAATTTAGCAATATCCACTCAAATAATCTTACACATATCCTCAGACACCTACAAATTGACACTTGCTTTCTATCTTTACAAGGGTTAAACTATGAGCCACTGTAGCTGCTGACCTTCAACACCTCCTGAAAGAAGATCAGAAATGAGGCACTCTGTGATCTGGGAAAACTGACAGAACAGGCCTTCAGATACTTAGATATTTTCTGGAGATGATTTTATGAGCCCAATTCCTCCATCTCCTCCTATCTAGGAAAGCACCAAAATCCTTCATGGTGACATCTGTTCCTTGTGACTAGCATAAACCTTCTGCAAAAAATGTGTGCTTG